AAAAAAAAAAAAAAAAAAATCACTAAAACTAAGTGAAAAAAATTATTCTGCACCTCTGAGGACAACTTCATCCGAGGTAGGATGGACCAAAATGTATGTGGAGAAGGAAGCAGAGATGAGGAGCAGGATGCCATGATTAATGYAGCTCTGCACTRCACCACAGAACAGGAAATGTGGGGRWTTCCCCAGCTTGGGTGCCTTTGATGCAAAACCTTTCCACATCTGTTGTCCTGTCCCTGTTTATTTAGAGTATAAATGGTTTAAAACGGGGCCTTATTCATCAGTGACTGCACAGCACCAGCCAAAACAGTGCCCTGGCTTCGGTGCAGGAAATGATTTGTGTATAATAAAGCAGTATCATTGTGTGTACACGAAGCAAATGTTTCCTGGTTTTCCTGGTCACAGCCTGTCATAAACAGGCTCTCCTACACTTCATTTTACTTTCAAAGCAGATTCAACAGCGCCCAATTGAACCAAACTCCACGAGAACCTCATCCAAGGGGAGCAAGAATGGCACAAAAAGGCAGCACCTTCCAGCTCCAGCTTGGAGCCACTGCTTCAGAGGAGAAGGAGAAGGAGGAGGAGGAGGAGGAGGAGGAGGCAGCGATGTCCTCTTGGTTCCTTTGGTGTCCCTGAGCTCTGGGAAAGGTGCCACACTGCTGGCCCTGCCCTGGGCACAGAGGGGACGGCAGGGCTCAGCATGGCAGCTGGATTTCAGGAATCTGCCCACATCTCTGCCCTCCTCCCTGCCTCATGCAGCCTTAGCTGGGCTTTTTCCATTACCCAGGTTATCCTGAGCACTCCGGGAAATGGAGCGCTGATTGCACTTCAGAGCTAAACATGCAGAGCCTGAATTATTTATCTGTGAGCACGCAGAAATGGGCTGAACTCCCGGGTGATGTGGAATAGCTCTTGGATGAGATGCAAAAAGGAAAAGTGCTGCAAAGGCTGCCTGGGTGGGCACGGTCAGAGCCTCACACACGCACATGGCACCTGCTGGGGTTCTTCCAGCCCATGTGGTTTAATTTCTGYAGGGTGTGGAGTGCCCAGGAGTGGGTACTGATCCAGAGACTCTTCTGTGGCACTGCCCAAGGGCCACCTCTGCACCTCAAACCAACCACTGGGACAGCGAGGCAAGAAAAAACGCCCCAGAAAATGTGTTAATGCAAATTCAGGGGGGTCTGGGGTGCCCCACAGCTTCCTGCTCAGCTCCATCAGCTCTGGAGGGGTTGTGCAATCATTAATTCAGCCTTGCCCAGCCCGACAGAGCCTGGCACAGCTCTGTACCATACAGATAGTGCCACGATAGCCGCGTTTGTGTCCCGGGTTCAATAACGACCCTGCACCCGCTTTTCCACTTTCTCTTACGCCAGCTCAGCTCCAGCAGGAGCCACAGGAAAGACGCAAGTCCTGTCCTTGCTCTCTGCCACCACACACACGGATGCAGCTCTTTCAGCACTATTTTCCCATGGGTCTGGTGCAGGGATGTATCCCAGAATTTCCCCATGAGCCTGCTGGGGGTGCAGGRAGGCTGAGATAACCCTGGACTAGGGTGGCCAGCCCGAGCCGTGCCTGGGGGCTGCAGGTGCGCGGGGGGCAGGGAAATWGGGCGGGTTTGATGTGATGCCAAAGCCCTCACCCCTACCCCTTACCCCCCTTCTTCTCGCTCCTCCATCCCTCTCCCCCTTTTCCTCCCCATAAACACAAGACACTCTCCAGCTGCCATCCCCGTCTCTCTCCCGCTCCCATTCCTCCCCATCCCGCCCTCTCGCCCGCACCCTCCGCCGTTCCCCGCGTTCTCCTCGGCCCCAGTTTCCGCACCATTGGCCCGGCTGGCAGCGCTGTGTGCCCGATTGGAGGAGGTGTCCGTCCGTCAGGGCGCGGTGCCCGCCCCGTTCCCGGCGGCGCGGAGGTGGCGGAGAGCGGCAGCRGCGGCGGTGGCAGCAGGTACCGGGYACCGGGCACCGGGGAGGGACACAGGGAGGGATGGCACAGCGGGGGATGCCCGGGACAGCCTCTCCAGGCACGGCWGGAGCTGCCGGGCGGTGCCCGAGCGGTGCGGGGGAGCCCCGGGGGTGCGGGGATCGGAGCCCCGCATGGGGCGGGGGGCTCGGCTGCGGCTCGGCCCCGCTGAGCGGGCTCTGCTCTGGGCTCGGGGGGCTGGGTCCSTGCCGGGAATGGTTCATATCAGGGGGAGAGTGACCCAAATGGCCCAACTCGGGGAGATTTTCGGTTCGAGGATGCTTCAAGGCTGAGTAGCTGCCTGTATGTGAAGTGTGTTCGGGCTGATCACTGCGGTTTGGGGTTTCCCTTTAGTGTGACCCTGTCTTTCTATGGAAAATTTAAAAGAGGTGAGAAAGTAGGTGCTGAGAAGAGGTGCAAAGTGGGGAARGGTAGTAGAGTGGCTTGGCAGGATCCTTACAGCAAGAAAAAAAAAATACATTAATGATTAAATAATCCTTGTTTCACGGGAGCAGTAACTGAAGTTGGAGAAGGCATTAGCAGGCAGGATGCTGAGGGGAATCAGAGCACTTTAGTCACTTGCCCTATATTACTTTTATAACCCATTTGTTCAGATGATACAAATCAAAAGCTGCTGTAATAAAACCATGGTTTCAGCTCTGAGAGCCTAAAAGGCACAAGTGGACCTTAATCACATGAGTTTGTTGCATTAACATTTTATTACCATTTTATAGGGTGTTTGGTTTTCCCAGGCAACACGCTACAAACCTGAAGTTATCCCAGCCTGGTTCATCTTTTTATGTATATATATATTTCTGGGCTCCTASTTTCTACASTRCCACTTGGTAGTAAAARGACACGTTAAAATAGCATTTGAAARAGAATGAACACAAAGGAGATCTTTAGAAAAGTGTGTCAGAGCTCTTGTAAACGTGAGAAGGGATGAAACTGCGGGGGGAGCGGGTTAGTCAAATAATGAAAAGGAACAAAAAAAAAAAAAAAAAAAAAAAGGAGTAGCTATTTATATGCAAAGAGGTCTGGCTTGCAAAGTGCCCAAAGTGGTCGGAAACTGAAGCAGCAGCTCTGTGCACTGGGCGGGCTGGAGGGGACAGATCACAGCACCTGGGACTTCACCAGGTGTGACAAGTGCCACCTGAAGCCTTGGGAAGTGGCCCCTCYGCTGATATTCCCTTAAATTGTCCCTCCCGAGGGGCAAACCCGCTGAGTGACAGTGACAGAGACATCAAGTGTGACCGTGGGATGAGAGATGAGAGCGGGGAGCAGYGATTCCTGCGAGAGCAGGATGATCCTGGCCGGTGAAACCAGCAGCTACCTGAGCAAGTACTCACTAGAAATCTTTACAGAGATTAGAGATTTGCAGGCGAGGGGGAAGATGGGATCAGCCACTAACAAAAGAAATACCCACCGGCTTAGGGAGATCGGCATCCAGCTGCTCGGTGCCTCATGATTTCCGACTGCAAACTCCTTCAGGCAGTTTTAATCTTTTTTTCTTTTCTTTTT